GGGCAGGAAGGAGAGCCGGCTGTGACCGGTGTACCTGGAGGGGTGGGGTGGGCAGGGAGGGGTCCGGTTGAAGTTCAGAGGGCAGACTCTGTGTGCTGGGCCCAGAGAAGCAGGTCCCAGGCACATTTTTGGTAAGGCTCCTTAGGGAGGTAAAATCCCTTCTTTAAAGAGCTTCCAGTGTTGCTGAGGAAATACAGTTTATACTCATGAAAGGACTGAAGAACTGAAATATACACTGAAACTACAAAATTGTGTATCATAATCATACTGATAGATACATTAAGAGTTTTAAGAGAGAGCAACCTAAAGCCTGAGATGGCAGAGCAAGTGAGCTTTCATGGAGAAAGCAAGCCTCTTAGGGGCAATTGACTGTCATTTTTACTTAGTATGTCTAACAATTTATTGAATCTGAGAGGATGATGGAGAGGCATGTGACCATCCACCTCACCTTTTGCAGTTTTCTCATCTTATAGAGGAGGAAGCCAGAAAATCTTAGTGGGTTACTCATAGTCACCTTGCTCAGCTGGGCCCAGAGATGAAGAGGGGCCTCCATGCCTGAAGGAGCAAGTGCTAAGGAGGTGGGCAGTGTGCCATGGGTCCATCCCTGCCTCCGAGGCTGGTTCCAGGGCCATGGGATGGTTGAGTCTTCCAAAATTTTTGCTAAGTGTTTAGAGGAATAAGGGTCTCCCAGGCATAAAGCATAGACTCCCAAAATCCAAACACAGTGGCAAGAGCTCTAGAGCCTTTTTCTGGTTGGGGAAGAGAAGTAAGAAATAGAATACTGAGAGTCTATGGGACAAAGCTTTCTCTTCAGTGAAGATCCAAAGAAGCACTGGCATTGTTTGGCAAATGCATTCTTTTTTATTTAATAAACCCAAAATCTCAGAGGCTTTTTTAGTATGCCTCCTCAGTAAATGAGGCCCAACTGATCTTTTAGAAGCCTTATACTTGATGGCACTATTCAGGTAGGTCCTGGCATGTTTTTCATAAATGACAGTATGCTGATGAAAACAGCTGACATTTAGTTAATTTTACTACGTGCTCTGAAAGCACAGTACAAACTATCTCATCAATACAAAAAAAGAGCTCTGTGAGTTAGACACTATTCTTCCTTTCATCCTATACTGAGCTGTAGACAGTTGAAATAGAACATGCCTAAGTTCACATAGTCAGGCCGGTTCCTGACTTGAAGTTTTTCTGACTCCAGAGCCAAGCACCTCAGTCACCTGTTTTAGAAAGGAATCCCCTGCGGGCAGAATTCCTGTCTAATATTTTATGATTCACATCACCATGTTCCATGAAGAAAGAAGGTGACTTAGATGATGTAGCAGTCATTAGTCAAGGAGCCTACCAACAGAGAACCCTTTCAGATATTCAACAAAATCTAAG